CATTGTAAATGGGCTGATCCAACAATGTCGTGCTCATAATTGTGCCTGATCTACAACAGGGAACTGCTGCTTTTTCTTTCCCAATCCTTGCTATCGTCATTTCCTCTACTTCTTTTGTATGTTTGTCACACTCTTGTGACCCACTATTTTCGGGGTGCCTTGATAGTCGAAGCAGACTTTATGCTTTTGAAGCTTGAGAGATAAGCAGAGTAAGTCTGATTCCCAGTAAGCACTTTTCTGTTGACATCCACCCCTTGGCGCTCATATGACCGTATGCAGTTGTGAGCACCGTAAAACCTCTACTAAAACTAAAACTACGATGTTTTTTTTATAAAACTAAAGAATGAAATTGTTTTTGGGGGACCAAACCCCAGCATATTCATCCTTTTTTTTAGACGATGTGCTCTTGGCTTTTCAGGTATCTGTTTTACTCTATCGATTGAGAGTTATGGCAATGTGTTTTAAATCGTTGTCATGCTGTATTTTTTTTGTCGATCACAGGCTGTTTGATCCTCCTTTTTAGGTGTATCTGTCCTACTTTTCCCCCCACACTTGATAACTGTTACTGTGTCGATGTGTTTCTCTTTTTCGAACTTGGTCAGTGTCAGTCAATGTTATCTGATGACTTCAAGTCTCCCACCATCATCAATGTGTCATGATTATAAAGTCTACTCTTAACTGGATACTTTTGCTGTTCCCTCACTGATGGGAGTTACAGCTCTTATTCTGTTCTTTTTAAATGTATTTGTATGCTTTTTCTGTGAGCCATTCTCATGTTCTCAGATATAAATTTATGAGGCTGTTATTCAATCTTTGGCTACAAACAATAGTAGAGTTTTTTGTTTGTTTGTTTTTGGTTTTGTTTATTTTTTTTCCTCTCAGGCCTGACGCTACATGTAGTTGTTTCCTTCAGCATTACATTAGAGCAAAATCAAATTTTGTCTCTGTTATAGAAAGTTTATGAGTTTGTTTGTGAGGCTGATGGATGATTGAATTTGTCTTAACTTCTTTTCTTCTTGTTTCCTACATCATTGTGTGCTCTCTAGATTAGTAGAGAATGTACCCAGCAGTCACTTGTTCAGGGCTTGAGTAAGGTCAAATTTTTTTCTTGTTTCTCTAGAATATTTTGACTGATTGTCCTCAAGTGTCCAGTGTCTTGATGATGAACCATGCATTTTGGTTTCCGAATGATTCTTCATCGTTTGAGTGGGTGGTAACTCCTACAAATAGGAGCCTACCCAAAAAAATTTAAAAGGAACCAAAAATTATGTTTTTTAAATAATGTACACTTGAAGACTCAAAAGTTCTATTGGCAGCAGGTTATGTTTGCAGTGAATGTTTGTGTATTTAGGATATTGATGCCTTCCTGATTGTTTGTGTTTAATCTGGGTTCTTAAGATCTGTATGTGTCATGTCAACTTACTGCTTCAGACTCCTAAATGTGGATGTGATGCTTAGCACCCACAACCTTATAAATGGCAAAGATATTGCAACTAAAATGCACCTCATCTAATGACTAACGTACATACAGTAATGTGTATCAGAACGAGTGTTTGTGTCTGGTAATTTCAGCGAATGAGGGTTTAAAGTTTAAATTTTAATTAAGTCCCTAACTAAGTGTATTTGTAAATGTGCATAATGTGTGCACAGTACCTTTCTCAGATGTATTTTTTGTGTATGTGTTTTATGCATTATTTTGCTCTCTATTTTGAGTCAATGATATTCTCATGTACAGAATAAAAAAGTCGAAAGAAAAAAACTGTTTCATTCACTCATTTTTGTCTGTGCTCATTCGTGGTTGTTTGTATATTGAGAAACGCCTTATTAAAAGCATAAACAATAAAGAAAGCTTTAGCTTGTTTTCAGTATCAGAATTCTAGCCAATCGGAATCTCTGGGGAAATAGTAACACCAATTTTAAAAGATATTCAATCAAAACCCTGCCTCATTGTCAATGCCAGTGCTATGTGTTGTATACAAAAGGATAGTGTGTCTATCTCTTGTTGCGGTAGGTCCTACTTCTTTTATTTCCCTCTGTTGTTTCTGTTTATCTGTCTGGCTTCATCCTTGGACTATATGACCGTTATTGTGTCAACGTGCTTCTCTTTTCTAAAACTCAACTCGAACTATCTCTTGCAGCTGCTTTTGGTGACATGTTCAAATTTTTCAGAATCCGTTTTACTTTTGGTTTTTCATTCAGTTCCTGACACTTTGCGAATCCTCCTGAAGAGCCATGTTTTTTGTCAGTCAGATATCGAGGGTGGTTGACAGGTGCTCTGGTGTGGTTTGCTTCTTCTTTCCTATCGAAGATATCTATTTTCCTTAACTTTTTCCTTTCTTTTTTATTGTAACTCTTGTAACGCCTATAATGTCCGGCTTTTATATGACCTAAGTGTGTTGCAAGTGCTGTAAAACTATTGCCCTAACAAAGTCACTGTTGGTGGTTGGCGGGTGCTCTGGTGTCATTCGCTCCTTCTTTTCTATGAAAACAACTATTGTCCTAAACTCTCCTTCTTTTTTATGTTTCACACTTTTGTGACACTTTTCATCCCCGACACTTATATGTCCTAATAGTATTACAAGTGCCGCAAAACGCTTACCAAAAAATAATAATAAATGGAAAAAACATAGTCACTTATCGCCAAGAAGAGAACAAACAGCAGCTATTTCGATTTGAAGGAAAAATATAACCTACTACATGGTAGTGGTAGCCCTTGCGATATAGACGGCCTGACAGAAAATGAATAAAACAGACGGGAAGCTTTGTGTTAAAAGCAATCAAAAAGGTACTGACCAACCTGTTACTGAAAGCTGGCCATGACGCCACGATGAGGGTGAGATTGAGTGGATATTACTTTACAGAGTGTTTTTTCCTGCTTGTTTCTATGATGCTACCGTTTTTATTTGAGAAAAAAGTAGCCTACATAGATGCAAAACCACCGAAGCTAACTTTCATTATCAAAGTCAAATTGCTCTTTTTGATATGCATTGGTCGATATCCTACACGGTATTACCTCGCCATGTCGTCATTTAAGGTGGTAGTGGTGGTGGTTGTGTGTGGCCTAGTGGTTAGACTCTCGGACTCGCAGCCGTAAGGTCGTGGGTTCGATCCCGTCAGGGGCTTGGGAGGGGCGCTTTATATTATGTGCTCATTACACCTAAATGGGAACGGGTACCTGGCTATAGACAGTTGAGACAGCCAAAGATCTTGTCAGTTTGTAAGTGTTCATGCCTTAGAGCGTGCACAGCTTGCGCAGTATGCTTCCCGGGGAGCCGGGAATGTTTCTGGGTATTTCAGAATCTGTTGGGATAATGATGATTGTAAAACGCATAGAGTATGCGGTAGAACATGGATGTGCGCAATATAAATGCAATTTTTATAAAATATTATTACAGTAAGTGGTGGTGGTGGTGGTGGTGGTAGTAGTGGTAGTAGTAGTGGCGGTAGTAGTAGTGGCGGTCGTAGTGGTGGTGGTGGTAGTGGTAGTAGTAGTAGTAGTGGTAGTAGTAGTGGTAGTGGTAGTAGTAGTGGTAGCAGTAAGCCTATTGATTTTATTATTGTTATTATTATTATTATTATTATTATTATTATTATTATTATTATTATTATTATTGTTGTTGTTGTTGTTATTATTTTTATTGTTGTTGTTATTATTTTTATTATTATAATCATTATATAATAATAATAATAATAATAATACTGTTATCACCATCATCACCACCATCATCATCATCATCATCATCATCATCATCATCATCATCATCTATGAGTTCAACATTAAAAACTACAGACGCACCTTCAAGTAAACTTGTAGCGCCATATGACCTTATGCAGTTGCGAGCACCGCAAAACCCTATACTAAACTTTTTTTAAAAACTTGCAGCGCCCATGCCTGTAGCAGTAAGTGTATTTCCTGTGACAGTGACACTATTGTATTAATGTCGCAACAACCTGTAAACTGTAAAGGCGGATGCGACTTTTTCTAAAGTTATAGAAATATGCGGTGTAAAGAAACAAATAACAATAATGTATGTCCCATTCAGCCACAAGCTGACAAAACGCCTTTTTTCATTTTGGCGCCAACATTTTTTATTTCCTAATTTGAAAGGCTGATCAGTTACCCTGCTTGTGTGAAAAATATCAAAGTGAAACTGTGACTAGTTTTTGAATAAATCAGAATTCAAAATTTGAAATCACTTTATTTTTTAATGGCTACGCTGACGCCCTAAAAACCCTCTTTTTCTCGAAACTGCTGTGAAGAGAAAAAAAGGCGTTTTGTCAGCTGACAGCAGCATAGTTTGCCTTCTCCGCGGGGCCGACCTGGGCGAGAAAACCGATACAGCAGTTGAAGGAGATACAGAATACACCTCCGCACTCGAGTAACGATTCATGAAACATACAACCTAAAGAGGAAAAAGGGGGAAAAAGGGGGGGGGGCGTTGTTTTGTGTGAGAAGAATTGTTGACCTGTGATATAATATCCTCCTGCAGCAAGCTCTCTGGTGTAATTTGGGTTCACTATGGAGAACACTCTTTGAATGAATTGGAGCTAAATGAAGGCAAGTGGGATTTGGGGGGAGGGTGGAGAAGGGGGAGGGGTGCCACGCGCTTTCGACTATAGCGAGACTATTATGTCTTTCCTTCATTTAGGCGTCTATATTTGCGTCTTCACACCGCCATCCGTCAACTGATTGAAATGCATGGTCCTTATCAAACTAATGTAAATTTGCTATACGTAGGCCAATAAAATATTTTTCAAACCTACGCATTAATGGATTTCAACACCTTGTCTTCACACAGTTCGATTTTTTAAAGCGGAATAGAAAGAAGGGGGGAAAAAAGATTTTAATTGGAAACTACGGGAAAACAGAAAAACCGTGAGAATGACCTACGTCATAAGAGCTATCGATTTCTGTACCAATAACCAGGGCCAGCTCGCCAATTTTAGGACGTTGACACACACTGTGAGTAAAACGTTCACAGAACTAAAGGACGTTAAGTTACTATAACATGGGTATTTACAGTTTCATAAATCAATCTAATCTGCTGAATATTTAATGCAAGCTCAATGATTAGGTCTGATATCCTACTAAAGACAAATAAACTTTCTCCGATCGCTCCCTCCCACTCCAACTTATGTGGTATAACGGTTAAGCATTTCGCCGTCGCACAACGAAGACCCGAGTTCGGTTCCCAAGCGGATGGTTTTTGTTTATCGAATACAAGTATCTCGGTCTTTCCGCTGGGACGTTGTATCCCTCTCAGCCTTGGTTGGTCCTGGCAGACAGGGTCAAAACCCGCCTCCTGAGTGATCTAATTCATCTAAATTGTGTCCATGTTGGCGAAAGTTTCTATAAAGATTCTACATGATTTTCACCACTAACCGCTGCAGCGAAGCCGCATGTAAATTAGAGCATGCCAATTGTCCAACCTCACTGGTCAGTGCATAGGTTTAACGCTCTTTTCAACATTATTTAAGAGACGGGGCCTCCGAATTTAACGTCCATCTGCAACAGGGTAAAATTACCCGGATGGTGAATCTTAAATTCTCCCCCAAAACCACCCACAACCACCGAATGGGATTCGAACAAGGGCCATCCGCCTGGTAGTCCAGCTGATTCAGCTAACTCGGCTAACAAACAGTGCTCCCTGTTCAGCCTCTAAGAGGGAAGTTTGGAGGTACACGACCGTTAGCCCAGTCACAATCTTTAGCCCTCTCACTATTGTCTACTCGTGCACGTACCTACAACCTATGGAACGGAAAACTTACAAACAGACCCAGCGGCTCCGTCAATAAACCAATTGATTTTTTCGTCCTACGAACAAGAGCTAAGTAATCCTTTCTCCCCCACCCTTTCGATCAACTTGGGACGGCTCATGGTCCGACTTGAAACAGCTGTGGACCCTGGGCGCGTTCCGAATCAGATCAATTTCTACACATTTCTTAAAAAAACTTCCTAACCGCTGCTCTCAAGCGGAACCTTTCCAATCAGAGAAAACATGTTTGTGTTGTGTACAATAGTTATATTCTTATTATAACGTTTTCTCAAGTTGAGAGCACCTTTCTAAATCAAGACAGCTGTAGTAATTATTTGCAGGGTAAGCATGTTTTTGCTCTCTTTTTTTTCCTCTGCATTCTGTCTGCAACACTTTTAATGTTGATTACGAGAGGCTTTGTAAAGGAACAACTCTCCTCGCACTGTGCTCGGTTTAGCTGTGGTGTGGAACGGACGTACGTTACTGGTTAAAAACAGAACATTGTGAATTGTATTCACGCAGTCTAAACCAAAGTCTTCTAACTGTTAAATCGGAACTTGTCCTGCTGTGTTCCTTGTTTCTGCTTACTTTTGCGTTGTATGTAAGGGATTTATTTTTGCCAACTGTTAATTAGCGACGACGAACAAGTCAGCCAAGTTTTTTGACTGCGGTCACTGCGGGAGGAAACGGATTATTCCTTTTGACTGAGGTATCACTTACCCGTAATAACCTTGTTTGTGTGCCATGAGATTGAATGGTGTACTCTTCGGAATTTAATTTTCTGAGGTAGATCTAGGCATTTGTCTCGAGCAAAATTCTCGTTCCTGTAGCTTAAAAAAATCAGTGTTTGAAATGTCTAAAAGAGCAGAGGATGTTTAAGCCTCCAAGAATGATTTGATTTATTATGATACATAACATTGTATGCCTTTCCTTCGTATTTCGGAGGAGGAACTTAAGCATGTGCACTGTTATCCGTGAGACCCAAAGATAGCAGTATATTATGTCACAGTTGAACAGAGACCAATATTTTTTAATTTAAAAGAAAAAAAAGCATAGTGCTAGCGTTGATAGTGTGCTTACTACACTGTTTTTCCTTTATGTGTGTGGGTGTAAGGATTATATATACCAATTTTTAAGCCATAAAGAGTTTCGGGGGAGGTGTGTGTGTGTGTTTGTTTGTTTGTTTGTTTGTTGTTTGTTCATTTGTTGGTTGTTTGTTTGTTTGTTTGTTGTTGTTTTTTTGGTGTGTTGGTTGGTTTACTTGTTTGTTTTTTGCTTTGTTTTGTTTTTGTTTGTTGTCTTTTTGGTTGTTGTTTAGGTTGTGTGTGTTTTCTTTAAGGTGGGAGGGATGTCAGTGCCACTTCTCCGTTATCATCTCTTTCTGCCTTGCGTTTACGAGGCATCTCTTCACACACAAATGTATAGTCATCCTAACAAACAGAAGGACAACACGAGCTTGAATATATTATTCAATTTCTAGTTTAAAGGAGACTGAATTAACAGAAGTGGTGTTATAAAATTCCAGGTGACATAGAATCTAGATATCTAGTCCTTACATTCTAGTGAAAAGAAAGCGAAAGTCGTCGGGAATACCGTTTTAAAGAAAATTTTGCTTGCGACCGGTCCTTATGCCCAGTTGCCAGTTAGTTCATTGTAATGGATAAAGAGAGGAGGGTGGTTGGTGGGTACTCTGGCGTGGTTTTTCTCCTTTTTTCCTGTCAAACAGCTATCGTCCTTATCACTCTTCCTTATTTTTTTTTGGCTTCTTACTTTCTTGAAACACATCTAATCTGCGGATTTACATGACCTATTCTGTTGCACGTGCCGTAAAACTTATACTAAAACAATAAGGATAAGATAACCTTGAATTTCGTTAGAAACGAATGACTTCAGCGGGGTATTTTTGTAACTTTATACATCCTCTAAGGAAAAGGGTGTGCAGGGAGTGTGTTGGCGCCCGCGTGCGCATGTGTGTGTGTGTGTGTGTGTGTGTGTG